CAAGTTTATGTGAAAGATATGTATTTCACAATTGAGGAGTACAGTATTTAAGCACAAATCCTCCTTTCTTATATATTGCTACTGATAAAGCATATGAAAAAGATACAATTCTTCAAAAAAATGTACAATAAAATATTAAAAAAATACAATTCAGGCTGTAGGCAAAATGCACTTATGCAAATCATTCTGCATAAAATTCTTAAACTGCCAACGGGTGTTTGCTCCACACATTTTGTAATGAATGTCTTCACTTTTACCGCACAGTCAGTGTACATCAAAATCAAATATTTTAATATCACTAAAATATTTTCAATACACTGCCTATAATGCTGCTTGCAATGATGCATAACCACATTTTGTAGTTGGACTAGTTCGCCGCCAAGGACTTTAAAGGCACATCAACGTCAATATACTTCTGAGTAGAAATTCCACTTGGGTCTACATTTCCTCTATTTATATAATATTTCAAAACATATAACATATACTTTATCAATTTCTTAAATAGTCTTTAATTTTGAAGCCAAATTTCTACAGGCTTTCTCAAGAACTGCAGAAAATGGACATTAAAGTTACTACTAATAATAATCCTTCCATTTGATACATGTAATTCGTTTCATATCAGGACAACATCTCAAAATCGCTTCCCAGGATTTAATGTTAAAACTGAATTCAACAATTTGCCAAATTCTGCACACTCTGTAATGCTGTATTAACAGAGTAAATCTAGACCTAGGTGAAATTTTATTTCATTCATGTCTACATGTAAACAATTGAATTGAATACATTTTTTTGCACTTCTAGTTGCTTGTTATTTTCTCACAGTCCTTGGCAAAACAGCACTTGTTTGTTTCTACAGTATTGTTCAGTAATGTTTATATTCTATTTGTATTCTAATGGTGTACTTCTATCCTTAATTTTATTATTACTTAACATAATTTAGTTTGAATAGATTATTCACACAGGGGCAACATTAAAATGATATTGATTTCTACAAATTAGATAAGCAGATTAGGATTTCCTAGCAACATTTGTAAACATCTATAAAAAAATACAACGTACCATGACTCATTGGTGAACATCCTCAAAAAAGGCCACAAAATGAAAGGTTGCAGTACTTCCACCTGAAATAACTTAAGGAAGATATGGGCCAAATGCGTGCCAGAGTGAATCGAACACATGTAGTCCATCCATTCACACAGCAGATTAAATTCATTTTGATCTTATGCTCTATTTACATGGCACTGTCCCCAAAGTGGTCAGACCTAAATTAAGTTACTGATCCGGGACAATAAACCAGTTAGGCAAGGGAATTGCCAAATTAGACTGTTCATGTTGGCCTGATCTGAATGCCAGGGACTCACAGCTGCTTTAGAACTCGTCATGCAAGGTGTATCTTCTTATTCTGTAATAAGAGCAAATGCATTTGCACCATTTAATGATGCGGCGTTTGTTACAATTGTATGCAGGACAGCTGCCAGTGTCTGAACACACAGCTGGTGTGTGACATTGTTAGATATTTATGCGGACATTGTCAATGACAGACATCAATCATAAGATAATTCTTAACATTATTGCGAATAATATCACAAATGAATAATCTTCATTGCATATACATCAGCATCTTAGGACATTTTAGATATCAGTCGTAAATGATACAGTAAAATGCAATGTACATTGTGATCAACAATTCTGTCAGTTTTGGCATCAACCTACGAATTCAACAGAGTGCACAGTTAATTCCTGACCTAATGTACATTAGCAGATTGCATCATCCACATCTTTTCCCTGATTCTGATAGAAAGTATTCCCCTGTTGCTCACATTGCTTTTTAGAAACATCTTCATATTTGACCATGTCCCCATTGACTTCTTTTTTTCTTCTCCGTTGCTGTATGAACATATCCCTTCATGTAACGGTCCAGCAAACTTTGGTGCAAGAAAACTCCATATCTTCTGTGATTATAAAACCTGTGTTTATGCTTGGGAACTCATGAGGCCTGAAATTCCACCTGGTGTGAGCCTGTAAGACCATTTTGTCTTAAAATTTCAGATCCTGTAGAATTGTGAAAAATGCTTAAATTCATTCTTAATTTAGAAACCAGTTTTACACAGTTCTTTAAAAAAAGCTTCTAAATTAAGACTGTGTTTAAAGATATTCCACAATTTAAATTTTTCAGACAAAATGCTCTTGCAGGCAAAGAGTGAGCGACATTTCAGGCCTTTTCTGAGGGGCATGTTCAAGAGTTTTAACAATTAAAAATGTGCTATTTGCAACATAAACATTGAATGCTGAAAGCAACAATGTGTGTCATACCACACCACGGAAACTCTGTTACGATGCACTCGGGAGAAGATTGAGTGAGAGCAGCTGGTCAGTGTGACATTATACATTATGTGCAAGATTCAGTATTTATGAATATTTTTGGACCCTGAATTTAGGTTCCACTTACCCCATATTGTATGTGTTGTGTATAGGATTCTAGGCGGCACTAAATTATGCTCTCCCCCCAAAAAACAGATATTCCCATCCACACCAGTGATTAGGGATATAGGAGGCTATTTGGTTTGTCCAGTCCACTCTGCCAGTTTGTTAGAAAATGGCAGCCAATTTGAACACAGCAACAATGACCCACAAACAGACAAAGCCAATGATGATAATAATAAGAATCCTTGCATTTGATATAGTTTTTTATCACATCGTTGAGGTGTCTCAAAGCGCTTCATGGAATATACTGTAAAGTGAATTGACTATATTTTGTGGGTGAAATGCAGCAGCCAATTGCACACAGCACTGTTCCACAAACAGTCATGGATTCAGTAACCAATTTATTATTTTAATGATCAATTATTATTATTAATGATCAATTTTATCTGTGAGAGAAACTCCCTTCTCGTTTCAAATAGTACCATGTGATGGTTTTAGACATCACTTTCAATTTGTCTTTCCTACCAAGCTATATAATATATTGTACTTAATGTTGGTAAAATTATTAAATATTAAACATATTCTTCCTCAGGAATCAGAAAACAATGGAAAACAATCAGTATTATATGTATCTTTCAGTATTCTTAAGGATTAAGTTCATCAAGTTTGCAGAATCTATACATTTTGCATTCCTTTCAGGTTTTAAAAGTCTTGAGACTCTAAAGACAAAGGTAGAGATAACCCTAATTGAAATCAAGTTGTCTGACATGAATAATGCAGGTTGTAAGGCTAGACAGACATTCTTTTTCTCGATATACCCTTGAAGGAGAGATTTGTTGCTGAACCTTCCCTCAGGAGATTAATGCTCCAGCCATACTGCCAGGAGTGAAGCTGTTTCACATCCAGTACAATGGTAATGTGCAGCAGAAAGCCAGGTTTATGCTTCCTGATCCAGATTGTTTTTTTTAACATCAGGGATCTAAAAACCTCACCCAGTTTTGGCTTGGTATCCATTTGTGATTCAGTGTATGTGACAGTGCTAAAATCAGAAGGAAGAATCCTTATCCTGGTGAATGGTCTGCCACTCCAAGCATGCCAATGAGCCAGGCTTGCTGTTCCGTCATCAGCAGTGCTCTGGAATACTGCGCACCTGCTTGGCTCAGAAACTAGACTACCAAGGCATTCACGGAGGATTGACTCGACTGACATTTGTTTGCCAAGCTTGTCACCTTGGAATCAGTTCAGCAACATGCATGCAGCCCCCGCCTCGGAGGACAGTCACTTTGCAGCTGGACAAGTTCTTGACTGTATATGGCCAGTAGTTAGTGTATGATTGACACCAATTTCTTCAGAACTTCTCCATTCAACACCTTTGGTACAACCATTATTTTGTGGTTGTATTTTGTTTGTAGTTTTATTTGATACCTTACCTCCATCTAATTTTTTTCATATATGGATTGTCACTTTTCAAAATGATCTTTTATTTCCACAAAATCAGTTTGAAAGATGTGATCAGAATTATAGATCAGAAAGATGTGAAGCAAAATATTAAACATACAGGGATTACACAACACTCGCCTTTGGTCTTGTGCAGTATTTTTTCCAAGTGTATTGTTGAGGATTAATAGATATAATAGTCTCATGCTGTTGGTGGACTCACCGATTGATCTGGTGTACACTACAGCAACATGGCTCTGTTTGGCTCGAGATGAATCCCTGGTGGTATTGAATGGTAATTGTAAGAGGCATCAATCCCAATTGTTGAATCTTATCAGTATGTGGTAGTCACCATCTAGTGACTTTTTGGGTGGTGGGGGGAGGGGGGTAAGAAAGTAAACGGGGGATTCTTTGGAACTCCAAGTTGGCACGCTTTGTAATTGAATGTCAGAATCAGGTTAACCTTCTGTGGTGGTATCAGTCTGCAGTACTTCAGAATACTGCTTAGACCAGTCAGCCGGCTCATCAGCAGGGCTTAGGTAGGCAGATCCTGGGAGCATGGATTATTCCTACACACAGTTCTAGTTAGCCCTGCAAGCCAAAACCCTAACAAGTAGGGTGGTCCTAGCTCCTAGCTAGACGAGCATCAGGAAGCTTGGCTTGTGGGATACCTATGTGGAATTCTCGGTCCGGTCTCTACTCTGTACTCTAAAGCATGATGAAGGGTTTCCGCATTTGTCACACTTAGCTGAGTAAATAAATTCCTGCTCTGACACTCTTCATCTTGCTAAGCATCAAGCACATTTATAAAATGAAGTAACCACAACTTATTCGTGAAAAAAGTTGGAATTTCCTTTCTCCTGGAATTTAACAGACCTCAAATACTTAATAAATCTAACACTTATTACATAAAAGTTATAATGGTTGTAGCAAATTCCATTAGCTTCAATCATCTTTTATTATTTATTTTTAAAAATCAATGGGGTGGGGAGAAGTTGCATAGCACTCACCCTTATAAGGAAGGAATTGAAGACAGATCTTCCTCAACTCTCCTGTATTGGCATAGCGCCCCCACTGTATAATGAAGTACTGTCTGCTTTCTTTCTGATCCATTTAAGAAACTGCTAAACAGGCAGGGCTAGGGTCCATGTTTTAGTAGTACTTTATTCCACTTGAGAAAAGAATACAGCCCCTTTAATATTTCTGCTTCATTAGGTGTAGGAACTTCAATCAATAAAATATCCTGTAATATCTTTTTGAACAGTCAAAAGAACAAACCTCAGAAAACCAGTAACAACTTACTGTCATATCACAGTCATTCTTGTATTCACAGGCATACGAAAATGGTTCCATAAATATTTGGTTTGAAAAGTATCAAACTTTAAACGTGATATTTTACAACAAAAAAATTCTAAATGTCCTAGCTAATTTAGCTCAATTCTCATTATTTTCAATAATCTGTACGCATACAGGTTCTCACATGAAAGACAAAATAGTTTGCCAACTATAAAGTATTATTTCAGTGCAATCACCAACACCAACAATTACATGCATTAAACATAATATATCACTTAAGATTTGAAATTCAGTCATAAATCAAAATGGACCCTTTCACATGAGATAATGTGAAACAATTCACTTCATATTTTACAAGAGGTTGGAGGTGCTCAATACCTAATTTCCCTACAAAATGTATTCCACAGTGACACTAGTATAGGTTGGTGTTCATATATTGGTAATGTTTGCCTTCTGGAAGCATTATAGTCAGGATTAGTCTGAATGGATTCTGGTATGGATTCGGGCTCGATTGGAAACAGATACCTGACGATTATGCAAATTCTGCATTGCATTACCTTACCAGGTCCTGTAGACGACATGTGTGGCGAGCTTTATAACTATGTAATCTATGCAAGAATCAACAGGAAAGACAATATTTGAACCACAGGTTATAAAATAAAGGCTTACAAAAAGATACAACATAAAGTACAGTATATGAACAACCAAGTTCACACTACGGCCACCTTATGGTGTAATTCTTCCTCCTCGCCTAATTGATTAATTATGTATTTGGCCATCATTTCATGGAATCAAAGGCTTATTTTAAAATGTATAGCTGCTTCTGACATTTCAATCGCTCAACAACTTAGTTGATTATTTGAGTGAAGGAATTTATCTGCAAGCTTCTTAAGTTGAATTGTTTCAATCTAAAAAGTTCAAATCTCATATGAAAGGTTTCTTATAAAAATACAGAGATGAGGTGCCTTTTAGAATATAACTGGACTCTGAATGATCATGAACCAGTGGCTCGGTACACATTTTGAAGAATATGCGCTGTTTCCAGATCATTCCAATTTATGGAGCAGGGGCCAACCGGGATACAAAGGAAATGCAGTTAAGAAACATATTCCGCAAAAATCCGGGGCAGGCAGGCTTCATAATCATATGCTCCAGTAATACTTTCAACTCTAAAAAGAGAGTTCTGTTGATATAAAAAAATCATTAATATTGTCAGATTTTTTTCTAAAAAAAACATTTTCAAGTACAATACAATTATAAAACAGTGATTCAAAATATTTTGTACTGAGTCAGCTTTTTCAACTGTTGGAAATTATAATTTTGAGTGTTACATATACAATATGCATTTGCTTTAGTGCCTTATCACATTGTTGACACATCTCAAAGTGCTTCACAGAATATACTGTGAGAGTGAATTGATTGTACGGTGAAAATATATAGTCAATTTACTTTACAGTATATTCCCTTTGTGAGACATGAAAACCTCATTGCGGACACAAAAGGCACGGATTTAGCACATTATATAAACAACAAATTGTATTAGCGGTAGTGTTTCAGAGTACTGAAATAAACCTATAACTGTGTTCACTCGCAGTGTAAGCACAAATAAAACTACAAAAAGAGAAGGAATCTAATTTAGCATGAAAAGTCCACATATACAGTAGCATATGATGCTACCATCAGCTATCAGCGAATATTAAAATGTTTTTGTGAGAGGATTGTCCACATTTTCATCCAAGCACTGTGTAAAGAAGTTCCTCCTAAACTCCGTTTTAGATCTGCTGGTAGCTATTTATTCCCCTTGCTATGGACTCACCAGCAAGTGGAAATAGATCATTTATGTACAGCTGATCAAACATATTCATAACTTTAAACATGTCTTATCAAGTCCCCTTTTAAACAGCTCACCTTCAGAGGAAAAAAAGCTCTAATCTGTCTATTGATAGCTGTATCCTCATCCTTTGGTAACATCTTAGTAAATCTACACTACTCTCATCATTGCTACAGTACTCTTTCTATAATATTGTGACCAAATTGACCACAATACTGTAAATGTGGTCTTACCAAGGTTCTTTAATTTAAATTACTTCCTCACTTTATACTCTATTCCTGTGAACATAATCCAAGGACTCAATTTGGATTATTTCTGGCCTTGTTAATTTGTGTTGCTATTTTTAAGAGTCTTGTGAATATTATACCTTCACTCCTTCCTTCTCTATACTGCTTAGATTCTTACCACCCTGGGTATAAATAGCTTCTTTATCCCTTTCACTAAAGTGAATCACTTCACATTTCTCTGTATTAAACTTCATCTACCAGCTATCTGCCAATTCTGCAAGTTTGTTTAGGTTTTCCAGTACCTTTCTGCAATCCTCTTCATTAGTTACCATATCCTTCAATTTGATAACATTTCTAAATTTGAAAACAATACTTCCTATATCTGAGTCCAAATCATTTACGTACACGATGAACAGTGGCTAATACAGACAACAGAAGTATATCACAATAAAAATACTTACTTGCAATAGGGATTTCTGCGGGAGGAGTATCGTAGTGTGAGAAATCTGTAGTAAATGAAAGGCTGCAACAAGCTTCCATGGCCACTTTAAGAACAAGGAATGTACAGCATGAGGATCAAGAACAGTGCTCTTCCAACCCCATTCACTACATTATTACACATTTACACTGAACAAGAATTTTTCTAATTTAAACCAAGTAACTAAACTGCTTAAATATCAAATAATCCCATAATCTCTTTATTTTAATTTATCCAATTTAAAGGTTTCCACACGTATCTTCAATATCAGGCATTACCTTAAAAGCATAAAGACGGTGGCTGGCATCAGAAAAATTTCATTGCAAGCAATGAACTTCAAAATGTTTTGCTGATTGGATGCAAGTTTATCCAAGATGGATCTCAAAAATCCCAAACTTCCAGGGCCCAGTAGCTGGTAGGGGGGAAGTGGTGTAAACAATAAAAATGTAAACAATGCAATTCTGACTGTAACATAACTGTAAAATGCTTCAGGATATAATTAAAGCTTCCTAAACATAAACTAGCCTCATCATTTATACTGTATTTATGCTCAGACAAAATTGAATTGACACATCTGGGAATAGTGGTCCTCAGTTTCTATAATCAAGCAACTCCAATAAACACCAACTTGCATTTATATTGCGTTCTTCACGCGGGCAGCATCTCGGAGAGCTTAACACTGGCAGAGCCTGATGCTGAACCTGGGGGAGGGGGGGTAGGAAATGGAGGAGGTGACCATAAGCACAGTCGAAGAGGAAGATCTTCAGCAGTGGAAGGAGGGAGGAAGGTGGAAGAATTGGAGGAGAATTCCAAAGCTTTGTGGTGTAGTGGCTAAAAGTGCTGCCGCCGATGGTGGTGCAGAGGGGCAAGAGACACGCAGTAAGTGATTTCTATTGGACAACAGTTTTATGGTAAGGAAACCCTAGCTGATTTTCTCCTCTTGCTAGCCCAATAGATACTGAGGCTAATTATAGTACCCTTAGCATAGCCCAGTTTGAGATAGAAAACTTAAGTGCAGGATTTAAACATGTAACTCTCTTAGCATTGTGCTCTACATAAACACAGCAATACTGTTGGATGTGTCAAAATCTTCATGAAAATATAAAACATCAAAACTATTAATACTTACATCAAGAATCTTTTTTGTGTACGCCGTGGTATGTAGCAAAGAAAACAGGAAAACTGGGAAAATGCTCACTGAGGTAGAAGTTTAAGGAATAAACTAATCATTATATTAACATTGCATATTTAAATAAATTCAAATCAATGGACTAAAAATGCAATGCAGTAAGCAATATTCAACTTGTGTCAAAATCACTGTAACATCAATAAATAACAATCTGAACAATCTTTTAGCAAATCATTAGTTTTCAGTGTGATTTATTTAATTCAAGACAGCTGCAACTAAATGTTGACTTTAGGGTTTACTCCTAATACTAAAGAGTTCATAAGCTCTATTACCCAACCTTCCATAGCACTGAAAAAATTAACCAGTGGAAACTGGACTGTTCTAAGACTTGAATCTTCGGTCATATTAATTTATTTATATCTACAACTCCACAGTTAGGAAAAAATTCATCAAATGAAAAACATATTCCATCATTGATGTGCAAACTTGAAGGGCCTATCACAGGCCAAATATTGATTGTTCAAGAACTTTTAAATATGTTCAGCAACATGAATCTGGGACATTCAGGAAACCCAGTGATAAAGGCTTCGCCCTCCCCCATATATCGACTTCACTTTATAGCACTGCCAGTGGGACGTCCTCCCGACATGAAAGGCGCTATACAAATTTAATTTTTGGATTGTATTCTAACAAGTGGTCACCTTTTGGGCCATCAGGCTGCTGTTATCACTTCCTGCATGTTGCATGCATGGGCATAATACGCTGGAAGCACTGCTGATGTTGCTTTTTATATACAGGAAGTGCCACAAGCAGAGAATGAATGTGCAGCAGTGACTCGACAACTATTAACTTGTCCCATTTTGTGTTTAAACACAGCCACTGAGATATTGTGCCTCAGCAACGACGTTATCACATGGTCGCTCTGCATCAATACTCATTACCATAAAGGAATGGTGAAGTGGAGATTGAAGGAGAAAAAGAGGCAAATTACACCACAATACAGTTCATCTATTTGCCAGAAGTCACTATAGCACATCAATGCTACTATTCTCCTCACTGTTTACTACTTTTCCTAGCTTAGCATCATCTGCAAATTTAGAAATTGTACTCCCTATACCCAAAGTTACAGTTATAAAATAATTTTGGATATTCAATTTCTTAACATTTAATACATTTCCCCATTATCTACATCTCCTTAACCTCACTGCTTTACAGGCTACGTAAAAGGGATACTTGTAACTGGGTAGGAGTTGACAAAGATCAATGAGAACAAGAGATAGTGACAGCTATCCTCCAACAAAGCCATATTTAAAAAGGCTCGACTCAGCTGAAAGTGAGGTAACCGCTGGTGTAGTCGAAGTGCACTGGTAAGGGCATTGGCCAGCAAGGCACGTTGGTAAAAACTGGCAGCCTCATGTATTCTATGTAAAACAAAAGGATCAAATTCAGTTCATCTTTTACAGTACCACTGCTCACTCAAATAATAAAATATATATTCAATGCACCACCACATTTTACATTGTAACTGTAAATTGTAACATCTTTCACAACTACATAGTAAATTTGATACAAAAATCACTCGTAAATTAAAATATTATAAATTTAAATTAATTGCAAACAATAAGACATTTTTGTTAAACATTAATACAGATGATTTACCAAATAACACTTACCCCATCAATGGGAAAATGAACAGGATGGAGCAGTACACAGTATAAAGTCGTGAAAGCCACATTGCAGCCTCCAGTTTGTTAGTCATCATGAATTGCTGAAACACAGAACACCCATTCATAAATACACTATGTACAGCTATCTGTAGTGTCCTCTTAATTGCAACAAATTAGCATTAAATCTGTGCAACAACAAAAAAATTTACAATTACAGTAAACCTCACATAAGTCGTGTCAGTTGGGACCAAATATTTAATATGACTTATGCAAAGTATGAGTTATGTCAAACTTGCATATGTCGTATCATATACAACTTATGTAAAGTTATGTACAAATTGGATTTGATACGATTTTCACATAACAATTACAGTATACAAGTTCTGTACGGACTGGTGACATGAGGGCAAGGTTTCTATACCATGTTTATTAAATGCATATTAAAGCTATGGTAACCCATTATTTTGATATACAGTACTGCACAGTACTGTACCTCATGTGCATAAAACTGGCTTTCCTCTCTCCAATGATGCTGCCTGACCTGCTGAGTGTTCCCAGTGACTTCTGTTTTTATTTCAAGACAGAACTGTTTTATTAGAATATAAACTCTTGGAAGATTTTTGTTTCACATGGAGCAGGGTGGTCCAACCTTTTGGCTGCTGAGCGCTAAATGCCCAGTGTCCGACACATGTGGAAACCCATTTCCATGCGTAAGAGTATCCAAACCAAATTGAGAATTCCATGTATCCTCCATAGATTGTTGGATTGGAATGTGCACTCTCTCCCTGGAGGGACATATCCGGATTACCTAATTCTGGTAAGTTTTAGGCCCTGGTTGGCAAGAGCCAAGCCTTTGTGACCCCATAATAATCTTTGCATTTGATATAGCACCTTATCATGTTTTTGAGACGTCTCAAGGCTCTTCACAGAATATACTGTAAAGTGAATCGACTGTATATTTTGTGGGCAAAACATGGCAGACAATTGTGCACAGCAGTGTGCCAAACAGTCGTGGATTGAGTGACCACAATTGTTTTTTTGCAGGGATTATTACCCCCAGAAAAGCAATCCACCAATCGACAAACAACCGGGTTCCTACTTACTGCTAAGTAAACAGAGGCATCTGGAGTAAGGAAACTTGCCCAACGTTTCACTCTGCCTAGGAATCGAACCCAGGTCTCTCACTTGTGAGGTGAGTGCTCCAAACACAAAGCTACAGGACTCCACCATAGTGTGTGTTAACATACTGCTGGAGTCTAACCAGTTATAATTGCATAGCTTGCCATTGCTATCACTGTCTGGCAAGCTTTCCCACTGCTTGTCCAACTAGGCAAACCCTGCCTGTTGAGGCTTTGGCTTGCAGGGTTAACAGGACTGAGTGGCACGATTCCCTGCCCCCAGTGACTGGTCTGCCCTTCCAAGTACTGTCAATGAGTCATCAGCAGTGCCCTGGAATATTGCGAATCTGACCGACTCAGGAACCGGACTACCGAGACCACCATAGAGGACTAGCTCGGGTCCGACATTCCATTGCCGAGATTGTCACCTTGGTGCTACCTTCATCAACTCCAACACATCCAAAAGGAGGATAGTTAAAAAGAAATCTTAGATGCTGTTGTGTTCGTGCAATGTAAAAGCTGTAATCTGAAGCGACAAGGAACACCTGTGTAGTGGAATTCTGGAACTCTCTCCTCAAAAGACTGTGGATGCTGGATCCATTCACAGCTTCTAAGACTGAGGTGGGTAGATATTTGTTAGGTCAGGGTATGAAGAGATACTGGTCAAAGGCAGGTAATTGGACTTGAGGTACAAATCAGCCATGATCAGCCATGGCTCCGGCTTTCTGCATGTCCCTCGTGCCCTCTGTTCCACCATTGGTGGTCGCACTTTCAGCCACTACACCCCAAACCTCTGGAGCACTCTTCCTCTATCGTTCCGCCTTGCCCGTTTCTTCCCCTTTCCTATTCGACCGTATCTAGGGTCACCTCCCCCTCCCCCTAGCTCGGTGTCGTGCTCCACTACTGTCAAGCGTTCTGGAATGCTACCATGTGTGAGGGGTACAACAACAACAAAATTACATTTATAGAGCGCCGTGCACATCGGGAGGACGTCTCAAGGCACTGGACAGTCAGGGGTCAGGACCAGAGCATGAGGGTGGGGGAGAGGTGAGGGAAGGCAGAGAGGTGGGAGGGCGACCAATGGCACGATCAAAGACAAGAGTCTTGAGACCGGCCTTGAAGGATGCGAGGGAGGGAGTGAGGCGAAGGGACCGTGGGATGGAGTTCCAGAGTGTGGGGGCAGAGAGGCTGAAAGCCCGGCCGCTGATGGTAGGGCGGGTCGGGCGGGAGACATGGAGCAGACCGGAGCCCGCTGAACGAGCCGTATAAATGCAAATTGTTGCTGTTGGGGTCTTATAGGAAGGCGGAACCGGCTCGAGGGGCTGAATGGCCTACTCCTGGTTCTGTGATTCCGCGTGTGGGTGTCGGTCGCTCTTCTGCACTCACCAGGATACCAGGTTGGGGCCCATTTCCAGTTGAATCTGCCATGGCTGAGGATTTTGCTGGAAGAAAACCTCTAGGTGAGGAGCAATAAGGTTAAGTCAGTCAGACAGTCAGTTCTAGATCAAGGTTACAAAGTTCTCCGTGTGGCTGCATCAACAACGACAACAGATCCCCCCCCACCACCTCCGCCACTGCAGGTCACTCGACACCGCGTCGGACACACATCACATCTCAGTTAAATGCAGAGCCCCTCTGGGGTTCCTGGGGGTAACGGGGCTGCGGTGAGTGAGCGCACATTATCAGGGGCTCGGGTCACAGTCACTTCACATGTGAATGGGTAGCTGTGGCCAGGCCCGGGCCCGGGCTCGGGCTCAGGCTCAGGCCCAGGCTCAGGCTCGGCTCAGGCTCAGGCCCAGGCTCGGCTCAGTCCTGGCTCGGGCTCAGGCCCAGGCCCAGGCCCGGCTCAGGCCCAGGCCCGGGCTGTGCTGTGCGGCCGGTGACGAGCTGGGCCGCCTTCTGGAACATTCCTCGGAGCTCCTCCCCGCGGGGCCGACACAGCGCTCGAGGCGGCACCTCAGCAAGAAGCGGCGCCGGGAAGTGTCGTGCTGAGCCCGAGCCTTCGAGGAGGGAGGGAGGGAGGGAGGGAGAGGCCGGCCTGCCTTACCCGGTGTCAGAGGCCCCGGGAGCGGAGCAGGAGGTCGGTCGGTCGGTCGAGGAGGAGGTAACGCCGCTCACTGAGCCCTCACTGATCACCGGACCGGAAACCCCGCCCCTCTCCTCTGCGCATGCCCAGCTCCCCCGCCCCGCCGAGAAGCGGTTTGTAGCCCAAAGTTAATGGACCGCCCCCCAAAGTAGCCCAATATCACGTGCCGCCTCCCCCTGGGAGCACATGGGGGCCAATTCGGGTGTCTCAGTTGCTTTTCAAACTGGGTCATAGAAAGGCCTTCAAAGGAAGAGGAAAAAAAACCACACGTCCTGGGGGTTTAAATGACTTTTTTTTTCCAAGCGGGGCACCCGTCCAAAGCCTCTTTGGGTACACGCTCACAGGACAACAAAGCACGCCCAATTGGGCATGAACCCACCCCAATTTGGGCAACATTGCCACCCTGTCCGTGCGCCTGCTTTCAGATTCTACGCCCCTAACCTCTCATTCCCTCCTGTTTTGTATATATAACACATAAGCAAGCAAGCCGACTAACCTCCCAGCCCTTGACAATGCTGGAGATGAAATCACATTTATAATCGCAGCAAGTCCCATCAGCATCTGACAGCAAATGGTCGGGATGCAAGCCTTTCATTTCATTCATTCCTCAAACCACACACATTAAGCTGCCTCTCTCTAACTGTCCCAGCATTTAGCCACCAGGAGTAATCCTAAAAATTCCAATTCTTGAGGCCATGCATTAATCTAATACATATTCTCCTAGAATTCCCTTTGCAACACTCATAAAATCATTAAGAGATCGCAAAATCAGTTAGGTCCTTCAGCTCATTCGATCTCATCCTTCCAGGAAGCCAACCCTCACATTATGTTGCAATCCAACTCATGCCATTGTTCCCCATATTTGTTCACCTACAAATACACAGTCACTACACTTTACAACAAATTCTGTGAGCACGTTAAGGTGTCCTTTAGACATGAAAGGAGCTATATCAAATGTAAGGATTATTTATACCTACTACAACCGACCCTCCCTTATCAGGAACTTTTACTCCTGCTCAGATAAATGATGTCCATTGGGTGACCTTGACCTCCTTTATTCAACTGGACTGAAATTATGGTCAATGTCATGGGTAACTTTGTAATGCATACTTATAATTTGAAATTCCCATGAGAGACCAACATCACCAAAAATGTTACCCATAACACCATCTATTTCAACCCAATGGTGTTTTATCTGCAGAATGTAAAATCCATATTTTGCGTGGGAAAAAAGGATGAATTCCACAGACTAGAAATATTGCACCGCAATTCTAGAATCAGAAATCTTCAAGAAGTAAACAATTCAAGAAGCAGCTTGATGCTGTAATTGGTAGCTAGTAGACTTGGTATTCTGGAAAGGTGAAATTAAAACGGAACCTCTCTGTGATTTTGTAAACTCGACAATCTCAGTGAATGGTTTATTGCCCTGATTAAAACTAACTACACAAAGAAAGTATAGAATAATCATAACACTCTTTTCACAGACTATACACAACATACCTTATTATGGACTCTCCCCTGCCTATTTAATCATCTGAGGAAAAGTTTATTTCAAGTAATCCCTAAAGGTGGTCCAGAGAAACTCTGGAATAACTGTCCACTTTCTATTGCAGGTGGTGCCTTTTGAGATGGAAGAAACTTTCACGCTATTGGATTTTTTATGTGAAACAATCTCTCCTTACTGCCGGTCAGATAAGACACATTCTCGAACTGAATGGATATAATTCCTGCTGCTTCATACATCACATTTCTTTAGAATAGTAGGAGAGAAATTCCACCTAGTATAAAATTAATCTTTTTAAATGTTTCAGAGCATGCAAATATGGCAAATTGTTAAATTCAGACACTGCTGTATGCAATTGGCTGCTGCATTTCACCCACAAAATATAAGTCAATTCACTTTACAGTATATTCTGTGAGGTGCTTTAGACATCTTGAAGACATGATAAGGTGCTGTATCAAATTCAAGGATTATTACTATTAACTTTAAAGCCAGTTTTCTATAGTACTTGAAAGAACTTCAAAATTCAGACTATATTTAAGAATTTACCAAATCCTGAACACTTTGAAATGCTATGAAAAAAGAGTAAATCTAAGTGGAATTGCTACACCATTGCCATTGATCTATCATTCCCCCTCTGCTCCATGTGTGGCTGATGTTCAGGACACACCTGCAGCCGAACACAGGCTTCCTGCACTGCTGTTGCTATACCCTCTGGGTCACCCAAAAACTTAATGGAAAGTTATACGACACAGTGGGAGAAATTCTACCAGGATCAAGATTTACTCTATTTACGTCACAGTTTAGAACACCCAGAATTTGGTAAATTGTTGAACTCTGCCTTATGTCTGAAGTCAGAAATTAGAGAAAATCAGCTTCAATTTTTGGATAATATTTAAGAATTTGCCAGATTCTGTATGCTCTGACAGCTACAGAAATAGAGTAAATATAAAGACAGATGGAATTTCTTCTGTCCTAGTGTTGGTGCAGCTGCTGATCCTCTGAGCTGGGGTGTGCAGATGTGCTGCTTGCACTGTGTGCTATGTGCTGTGCAGCACATTCTGTCACTCCAGATGGTCCAGGTTTATCTGCAAAGAGATAAAAGTATACCATAGGAGCATGTGATCACATCAGCAGAGATTAGTACAAGTTTATTAATAGTAGGTAATGCAAAATTAATGTGTATGATTTCAATTTAGTTGGGCTATACTCTCAGTTGCAGTCCCTTTGAATTTGGCTTAATCTCCAAGCTCTTTTAAACTGAAGACGTCATTGACACAGCTCTGCTAGCTGTTGTTTGAATGCAATCCTCGCTTATGATGGCCTTCACAAAATTGAATATCTAGATTGAATATTTAGGGTGGATATAGGAATGATTTCTTACTAAACGGAATATAGCAAGAGCACTTCACTCTTATTATGGACATTATCGATTACCCTTTGCTTCTATAACATAAATAAAGTGTTCCCCAGTTAATAGTGTTAATGGGATTTGATACTTGACAGAAAGAATGAAGGGAATCATGATCATTTTTTTTGTCTTCCTTAATCGGTTTTGAGTGAAGTTTGATAAGAAACAAGAAGTGCCTTGATGGGATAGTATGTTATAATAATAATTACATTTAATTACATAAATTCTTACATTTGATATTGGCACCTGCTTTCTGTGAAGCCTCCCACTGTTATCCTCTACAGTGTCTGGTAATGGTTACCTGAGAATATCCATGCTGAAAACTACCACCATCACGAAGATCAATATTTGAATACAAATGAAAGAGGATTCCATCTGATTTAAATTGATGTCCTGGAAAGCAAAATTCATATGCTGACTTTAGGACCTCAAATTAAACTCCTGTAATAGTGTGAAAATTCAAAGACGGTGCTGCAATGTTTGTGAACTAATGCAAAAAGCCAATTTCAACTCAGTCAGTGTGGTTTACTGAGATAGAAGATAACTAAGGAATGGGAACAATTTAGTGATGTTACATAATAATACATAATGTGTTTGAAATTTACCCCAGCATATCAATAACCTTGATATAGGAAAAAGGGGATTATATTCAAGTTCGCCGATGACACTAAACTAGGAGGTAGATTTAATTGTGAAGAAGAGGAAAAAATATTGCTAAAAGACTCCACAGACAGATAGTGAGAGTAAGTAGAAAAATATTTGAGAAGTAAATGTGTGAAACAATGAGGAGAAAACAAAAATAAATAAGATTAAAAGATTTACCATGAAGTAACAAAATAGCAGAAAAGGTTTGACCTGTTAATCAAACTGACTTCTACATTTTTCTTTGTATATTCACCACCATCAGCACCACCATCAATGCCACCATTACATAATCTCTGGTTATTTTTAATGCAAAGATTATGATGATATTGAGGACTGAAATCATCATTCATACCAATGAATATGAGATTTAATGGGGAACAATGGAAAATTGTTCACTTTTGAGAAAGACCATGTTAAAACATTGAATATTTCATTGTTTCCCAACATATCTTATAGCTTGTATATCTTATATTAATAAAACGACAATGTCTGTCTGTCTGTCTGTCTGCCTGCCTGCCTGCCTGCCTGTCTGTCTGTCTGTCTGTCTGTCTGTCTGTCTGTCTGTCTGTCTGTCTGTCTGTCTGTCTGTCTGTCTGTCTGTCTGTCTGTCTGTCTGTCTGTCTGTCTTCATTACATAGAGGCTCGACTATGCAAACTCACTGCTTCTCGGTCTCCCCAACTCCTCCCTCCGCAGGCTGCAGATCATCCAGAACTCTGCAGCCCATATCCTCTCCCGCACCAGGCTCCGTGACCCTATCACCCCCATCCTCGCCCAAATCTAATGGTTTCCCATCACACAGAGGATACAATTCAAGATCCTGGTCCTCACCTTCAAAGTGCTCCCCCCTAACCCCTACCACCCTGTTCGCTCCCTCCACTCAGCAGGCTCCGGCCTGCTTCACGTCCCCCATCTTGCTCGCCCTACTATCGGCGGGCGGGCCTTCTGCCACTCTGCCCCCACCCTCTGTAACTCCATTCTGCAGTCCCTCCATCTCGCCTGGTCCCTCACCACCTTCAAGACCCACCTCAAGACCCTCTTCGACCATGCTTTCCATCTCCCTGCTTCCCCCCCCCCCCCCCCCCCGCTCTCCCCTCTTTACCACCCCGACCCTCAGCTCGGGTCCGTAACTTTGTCTGTCCAGCACCTTGGGACATCTCCTGACATGAAAGGCGCTATACAAATGTAATTTTGTTGTTGTTATTGTTGTCTGTGTCTGTTGTCTGCGCTTCAAGGAGGATCTCAAAAAACGATTGACATAGAGACATGATTTGTACCTCATCAGAAAGGTCTTGCATCTTGGAGTGACATGGGCATATTTGTTTTGGGTATCTCCTAACGTTTATGAGTTATGACCTAAAATGTATTTCAGTTTTGCGTTTTTCACTGAAGTTACACCTTGTAGCCGCCGAGTCAAAGTGGCCTTTGGCACCTAGTGGCTGCACCGGCTGACTGTGGTGCTGTGGCATTGTGTGCCTTTCGCATTGGATGGGCGTCC